CTCTCTCTCTCTCTCTCTCTCTCTCTCTCTCTCTCTCTCTCTCTCTCGCACTCGAAAAAATAGTCCGAAAATTCTTGCCTAAGAATCAATGAATTACATCAAGATTGAAATGCTTGAAAGCCATTGCCATACATCAATTATTATTATTATTATTATTCGATGATAATAAAGATGATGATGATGTGATGACAGTGCACAAAAAAAACTTTCAATATATTTCCTTATCCTTATCAATTTAGTTCCTATTTTTAAAAACAAGTAAAACAAAACGAAAATAAAAACTTGAAAATTCATTAAAACTTTTGTGCTGAAAATCAAACGAAAAATAAATAAACTTTTTTTTTTTTGTTTAAACAGAACAAATGTTTTCTATTTTTGTTACTGGAATGTTTCAAAAACATCCCATAAAAGGTCATTTTTGTTTTTAATCGTCATATGATTTTTGAAAAACATTCCATTTTTGTTATTGTTTTTGTTGTTATTAAGTCTTTTTTTTTTTGGGTAAAAATAATCGAAATTCTTAACATTGTCAACCTTTTTTTTGGAATTATTCAATCAACATGAAAACCCTATAATTAAAAAAAAGAGAAACATTAACATCAATATTATTGAATCGAAAAACCTCTTTAATAATAACAATAATAATAATAATGTGTTTATCCAATGGGAAAATCTTTTTTTCTTTTTTCTTTAGTGCATTATTAATAAAAATATACATACGTTATTATAACTGGATTCAATCAAATTCTTCCGTATTTTACTGTATATTTTTCATTTTTTTTTGGAAACAATTTCCGAATGTGAATTGAATATTTGATTATTATTATTGTTATTATGAAAAATGTCATCAATAGTTGAACAGAATTTACTTTGGAAAGCATATCAACAACATAAATCAATATTGAATAATTGTTCAATATTTGGTTTGGATAAACAACAGCCACAGCAACATATTTTCAATACGACCGATCAAGCTGTTAATGATAAAAATATTTTCGGCCTTAATTTTGATGATGATGATATCCATTTTAACAATATTAGTAGTTATAATGATAATGATAATAATAATAATGATATAATTAACAATATAAACACGAATCCATATGTACCATGTGATTCAAAAATCATGTCCGATATTGGATCAATAATCAAACAATTGGATCGTTTGATTATAAATGCCACAAATAATAATAATATTAATCAACATCATCAAATTCTTGATGAATCATTGAATGATGATAATCAATCAACATTATTATCATCACAATCATCATTCGGTATTAATCAAGCAAGATCAGATCAATTTTATATTGATTATCCACATGATATGTTACATCCATCTATGAACCCCTGTAAGTTTTTATTTATTTCATTGAAAATTGATGATTTTTCTCCTGGAATATCAATGTGTGTCTTTGCGTGCAAATATTATGATTAATAATTTACTTTTTGCTTAAATTTTCATATAGCTTTTATGCCAATTATCATCACTCATACAATAACATTTTTAATCGGTGTTATTGGTAATAGTGTTGTTATTGCAACATGGTCAATGCATGGAAAATTTCGTTCACCAACAGCTGTATTTTTAGTCAGTTTGGCTATCGCTGATCTACTTTTATTATTAGTATTTGTACCATTAGAAACATTAGAATATTTTATGATAACATGGACTGGATTAAGTTCTATTTGTAAAATGATTGCATATGTTGAAGCAATTTCAGCAATGTCAACTGTAATGAATTTACTTGCTGTCAGTATTGAAAGGTAACAATTATTTGTTTTGTTTGTTTTTTAAATGATGACAAAAAATTAAATGCATGCAAAATTCTTAATGATGATGTAATCTGCAAAAAAAAACACATCAATTTTTTTTGTTGTTTAAAAAATAAAATAAAATTCAAATTTGAGACATACAAATTAGCATATATTCAATAGTCGATTCACGAATTGTACCAAACCAAGTTTTTTTTTGTTCCATTGCAATAACATTTCGTTTGCTTGAACAAATGAAACAAGAACAAAAAAAAATCTGTTTGTTCTTTTATGCGTTCGTTGTTAACATTATTTTCGAAACCAAATTGACGATAATAATTCTTTTTTTTTTCCGGAATAACTAACATTCTTTCTTTTTTCTTTTTGTTTTTTTTTTCATTTTACAGATTTTTAGTTATCGTTTATCCAATGCGGGCTCGTTCATGGTGTACAATGAGTTCAACTCGTAAAGGTTTAATCATAATATGGAGTTTTGCTTTTGTTCTATCGACACCAGTTTTACTTACCAGGGTAATTATAGCCAAAAGTGATTATAAAATCGAATACGGATATGTTTTTGTTTTTTTTGATGAAAAATCCAATCTTTTTTTTTACTTATTTTATCTCTTTGTTTTTTCTTTGTTTTTTCTTTACTTTTTTTAAAAAAAACAGCATACCAGTCAAATAACATATTATAATATGACCACATCATTAACATTATATTATTGTTTTGATGTTGAAAATGATTTAACATTTATTGTGGCTATTTATCAATTATTAGTTATGTTTGTATTGCCTGCATTGTTTATGGTTGTTTGTTATTATGTTGTTATACGACAATTATGGTCAAGTACACGTTCAGTAAATATGATGACACAAGCTGAGAATAAAGCCCGTCAAGCATTTGTATCAAGAAAAAGTGATTCAACATTATTCTGTCATCATCATCAACAACAACAACAACAACCTAAAATAAATCATAAACGTAATTATTCACATCAATTTGATGATAATGAAAAAAGTTTTTCAACAGATTTTACACAAATTATTTCAAATTATCAACAACAACAACAACAATCTCGTCATCCAAGTATAAATGAAATTACAAATGAATCGATAAATTTAACGAAAATTTTGTCACAACAACAACAACAACAACAGTCAAATCGAATCAATAATAATGCTAAAAGTTATGAGAAAAATCAGAAAATGGAAAATTTAGATGAAAATCAAAGTAATCAAAATTCAATAATGTTTATAAATAATGATGAATTTTGTAAAGTTATCAAACAACAACAACAACAAGACCGAAATGATAATAATAATGAAAAGTATTCGATGACAAGTTTTATTGATGATGATGATGATTGTATAGGAAAAATTCCAGAAAAATCGATTAATAGTAACCTAAGCAACAATAATAAAGACACAAAACACGTCCAAAATCATCAATATCAACAACAACAACTTCTTTCAATATCTGGTTTATTGAAAAATGATAATAACAATCAACGAAAACAATCTATTGATAATGTTGATCATGATGATTATGATGAACAGATCGAAATAACAAATATGCGGTCGAATAAAAATAATGATATTATTCATCCAATAACAACAACAACAACAACAAATCATCGTAAATCATCATCATCAACAACATTATGTCATAAATCATGTTCAAGAACATTATCATCAAATGTAATGGAAATAACAAAAAGTCGAATTCAAGTAAGTATTGTTTGTTACCACAAGATGGCAATACTGTTATTTTCAAAATTGTGAAAATTTTTTTTTTTCATAATTCGATTTAAAGGAATTTTGATTTTTTTTGTCAAAAACAAAACAAAACAAAACAAAATTCTATCATTCGCTTCAAGCCAAAGACAAAGAAGAAAAAAAATTCACCATTATCCATAAATAATTCATTAAAATTATCTATTTTAATGTTGCTTGATTCTTTTGATTTTTGTTTTTTGTTTTGATTGTTTGACTAATTAATTTTCTATATATTTTATTTGTTATTATGGTTTTTGAAATTAATTATTGTTTGATGATGGTGATGATGGTGATGATGATGATTATAGTTAAAATGAAATTCATTTCCAAATTCTGTGGAAATGGAATCAATTAAATGTACCCATTATCATCATCATCATCATAATGTTCGAACCTTTAACAGATTATTATTAGTTAGAACCCAAATGTTTTGGCAAAAACAAATTTCCCCATTATCAACAAAAAAAAAACTAATGAACGACATGTATGTTTTATTGGTCATTAATATTAATAATTTTCTTTTCTATTTTCTTTTGTTTTGTTTTTTTTCCACATTCAAGGTTATTAAAATGTTGGTTTTGATAATAATATTATTTCTATTATGTTGGGGACCAAGATTAATTATGAATGTATTGGTAAAATCAGGACTAAGTACATATTCATCATGGATTTATAATACACGTGTTATGTGTAATTTATTATCATTTATACATTCAGCATTGAATCCATTTGTATATGGTTTTATGTCATCAAATTTTCGTTCAATGGTTTGTTCATCATTTGGTCGTCGTCGTCGTCGTCTTCGTGATCGTCAAAAATTTAATAATAATAATAATACGGGCAAAAATATTCCATTAAATAGTCATCATCATGATAATTACAATAATAATCGTCGTATATAAATAATAATTAACCATTAATAGAATTAGAATATATAATTAATCAAATCTGTAATAATTTTTTTTTAAAAAAGGAAAAAAGTTTTCATTTAGAATTTGATTAGAGTTCAAATAAATGTTCAAATAATAATTATTATTATCATTAAAAAAGTTTTTTTCGAAAAACAAAATAAAAAATCCATCAAATTTTATAATTGATAAAGTTTTTTGTTTTTGTTTTAATTCTTCGAATCCTACGAAACTATTCTTGAGTAAGAATACTATCGATATATCGCGATAGTTTCATATCGAATGAATTTTTTTTTTTCGTTCAATAATTTAACATTTATTGTCTTTTGTCGATAATGACCATCAAAAATGATGATAATCGGTTTTAGGATTTATAAAATTGTATCCAAAAAAAGAAAATATCCTCGTTTAATAATAAACTTTCATAATATGACAACCGGAAAATTATTTTACTTTATTGTACCGAAAAACACACACACACACAACATAAATAGTAATTTGTTGCTCAATTTCATCAATATGGTGTTTCATAAATTGTTGATCGCATCTGAAATTAATTTTGAAACAAAAAAAAAAGTCAACCCAAATTTTTTGCGTAAAAAAAGTAGTAAAAATGAGCAGCAATGTCCATCGGATGTTGATCATAGCAAATCCGTTGGAACGAAATAAAATATAAATCAAGTAAGTATATAATGTAATAAAATATTTATCTCTGATATCATACGATTTCATCCAATTTTTTTTTGTTTGTTTGTTTCTTGTTTCGTTTTATATTACTTTTTTTTCTACTCATCTCTATGTAGAGATAGATTCGGTACGCGGAGGCGTTCACATTCAATCTCAAAAAAAATTCTAAGATCTTTTTTTTTGTACGCCTTAAATCTGTCCAAGGATGAATCAGATCAACAACAACAAACAAACAAAAAAGAAGAAAAAGATAGTGTTCGGTGCGGATGCTAGTTTGGTGTCCACACAAATAAACTACTCAAAAAAAAACGAAACATAGGAATCGACATAAACATTTTGTCATTTTGTTGCGAACAACCAAAAAAAAAAAATCACATATAAAAAGCATCATATAAAAGATGATTCTGGCCATTTCAAATTTACAAATGATCATAAAAAGGACATAAAGATCAGTCATCATCATTGGTAAACCACCAACTAAACAACACCCTTAATTTTTTGTTTTGTTTTGTTGATTGTCATTATAACAGCCAACAGCAAATATCTGATATTCGATCATCATCAATAATGAACTATTCAACAAGTCGAAAAAAATCTACTACAATTAATTTAACAACCAAAACAATTCAATCAAAAATGTTATTGATTGAATTATTTTGTTTGATATTTCTATTGATATCATCATATTCAAATATGAATAAATTTTTGCCAACAGTAATGGCAAAAAATGAAACACCATTAGAATGTTTGGTATTGAAAAATTTGGTTACCAATCGTTTAAGTCGTTGTAAGTAACAAACATAATTTGTTTGATTATCTAATTGAAAATCTATTTATTTTTCTTTTTGCTTCAATTAGCTTTGATAGAAAATCGTCATCGTATGTCGGAAAATGAAGCTGAAGCACGTAATATGAAAAATTTGATACGGCTTCATTATAATTGTCTTCTGCATGATGATCGAATTCGATTCAAAAAACGTGGCTGATATTCATTCCAAATCATTTATTTTTTCATCATTATCATCATTAACATTTTTATCATTTTTGACAACTTTCATCATCATCATCAATCGATTTGCATAAAATTGATAAAAAACAACAACAAAAATTCATGGATAATGAAACCTATTGATCAATACTTAAAAAGACCGAATTCTCAACTGATTGATAATCTTATTCGATTTTTAAGTCCTAATCATCACAATTTAAACTTTAAACAAAAAAAAAATCAATCCACTTTTTTTTCAAATGAACCTGAATGAATGAACTATTTTCATCGAACGACTAAAACTATTGTTTTTATAATAATTACATTTTTTAAAAATGTAACAATCTAAAAAAAATTAAAAATTTAATAATATTCAATCCAAAAACAAAATTTGTATTGTTCTGAATCTAAATCTCTGATGTTTTATTTGAAAGAAAATTACATTCAAGGGATAAATTCATGAATCCAAAAATAAAAATGAATGTAAAGAATTACTATTTTAAGGTCATTTTTGAATGAATCGTTGAATTATTAAATGATATCATTTCTTTTTTTTTGCCAAATATCACTATGGTCATTTATTATTTATATTTCGATCTGATTTATATATATATAAAAATATGCATAATTTTTGGATGATGGATGATGAAAAAAAAATTTCTGAAATGTAATTATCATACACATACGAATAATAAACATTCGATCAAGATGGTGATCTAAATCGGGAAAGAAAAATCATCAAATATTTTCATCAATCGATATTCGCCAATAAATATGAAAAAAAAAATCATAATTTTGGGGACAAATCAACAAAAACAACATTCTGTGTGCGTGTGTCCCAATCGACATTTATTATAATAATGATAAATATGAATCGAGAATAATTAAAAGATATGTATCAGGTTTGATGACGTGATTACTAACAGAAATGACTATTAATCATCAATGTTCGGATGTTTGTTTGTAAATTGTATTCATTTATTCATTCCGTAGGAAACCAATAACCAATATGTCGATGTTATGACATTATCATTATTCAAAGATTCATCATTCATTCATTCATTCATCACTATAGTACACCGCTACAAGTGTAGAAAAATTTATACATTATGTATAGATTTGTTGTTACGATTATAGAATATTTGATTCATCTGATTATCATTTACAAATCATATTCATTAAAACAAGGTCGAAAAAAATCTTGTTTTTTCGCAACAAAAATTTGATTTCCATCATTACTTTATGATGATGATGATGATGATGATGAAAAAGTTTCATATTACCAAATAGATTATCTTTAATCATTTGGTTTTGCTTTTTTTTCTAATTTTCTTGGTGGCCTACGAATAATGTGTGTGGGGTGTTTGAAATCAAATTCAATTTCATATGGCTTCATATGGAGGATGAAAATCTTGAAACGAATGAAAATCCATAACAGAAAGATATTCTTTTCGGTTGTTTATTTCCATTGATGTAAAATGTTGAACGAAAGAAAAAAAAATGCCAAACAATCGCCTTGAGATTGTATCTCATATGATTTTTAAGAAAACAAAACCTGGAAATTTATTCAGAAAATTTTTTTAAAAAATTTTTAAATTTTCTGTCCGGTTTCACTTTACAGTTTTTTGTTTTTGTTTTTGTTTTCAGCTGTTTTGTTTTGTTATTGTCATTTACATTCAATTCAAGTTGATTCCAAGAAAAACCCCCAAAAAAAATGAAATGAAATGAAAGATTTAATCTATGTATTGAATCTAATACTGAAAAAGTTTTTTCCTTTCTTTCTTTCATTTTTGCATAATAATTCTATTCCGGTCACAATGTGTAATTATAACACAGAGTATTGCCGTTTTGTTTGGTTGATTTAACCTTCCTTCAAATAATCAAAATAATAATAATTTCGGATGTCGTAACGTCGAATGTCAATCGATTTAGAGAAAATGTTGTTGAACTTTTTTTTTCTATTGGTTTTGCTTTTTTCTTCTTTTGTATACGGATTTTCATTGTCAATTTGTACATTTGGATCCTTACCACTACTGAAAGAAAAAAGATTACTGTTCCAAAATGGGCAACAAAAAAAACTTTTTTTTTTTGCTTGTTTCTTGTTGTTGGTGATCCAAATATATAAAAGACAAAAAGAAAAAGTTGGACAAAAAACATTTTCATTCAAACATGAATGAATGACAAGTGTGTGTTTATTAATTTGTATGCTAAAAATAAAAGAAAAATTTTAGATAAAGTTAAATCACCCAAAAGTCTTGGCTACAATTTTATTTAATCTGTGATATTTGATTTAACAAAAAACCCAAAATGTTTATCCGAATTGTAAGTTTATCGTTTTTCTATGACAATTTTCAATTGATTGTAATTGTTGTTTCATTTAGATTTTTCTCGTTGGTTTTTTGTTTTGTGTGGTCTATGCTGAACAACAACAAAAAATTGATCAAAATCAATTGGAATCCGATCCATTGATAATGGCTGAATCAGCTATAGTAGGTGGCGCTAAAGCTGGTGTTGCCGGTGCTAAAGCAGGATTTAAAAAAGGTGGTGCTGCTGGAATTAAAGCCGGTAAAGCTGGATTTGCAATTGGTGGTGTTAAAGGTGGAAAAAAAGGTAAATGAATTGATCAATATGAATTTAATGTAAATTGCGATTATGTTTTTTTTTCAAATAAAGGTGCATTTGCTGCTGGAGCTGCCGGTGGAGCCGCTGGTATCAAAAAAGGTAAAATTAACCGGAATTACGAATTTTTTTACGATTAACGCACGATATCGACAATATTAGGTGGAAAAGCAGGTGCTGCCGGTGCAGCGGGAGCAAAATTTGCAAAATTTGGCAAAAAAGGTGTATTCAAAAAAGTTGCTGCTGCTGGTTTTAATAAGAAATTTGGTACTATAAAAACTTTTGGCATGGCGCAAGGGTAATTGATTATTATTGATAAAAATCCTAATCTAATCGATATGAAAATTTATAGATTTAAATTTGGTAAAGTTGGTGGTGCATTTTCGGCTGGTGGTGTGGCTGGTGCTGTTGGTAAAAAAGGCAAAAAATTTGCGGCTGGTGGTTTGATTGCTGGTATGTCTCTCGGTTTTCTTTTCTCTCATTAGCATCCTTTTAATTTATTTTTTTTCGCAAAATAAATTTCCACAGGCAAAAAAGGTGGCAAAAAATTCAAAAAAGGATTCGCTGCAGCTGGTGGTGCAAAAGGTGGTAAAAAATTCTTTGCCGCTGGTAAAGCTGGTTTCAAAAAAGGTGCTGCAGCTGGTGCTAAAGCTGCATTCAAAAAAGGAGGTGTAGCTAAAAAAGTGATCAAAGGATAATATCATCCAACAATCAAAATAATTTCTAATTTATAACATTTAATTTAAAAAAAAAATTAGTAATTTAGTAGCTTATTACGTCATTTGTTGGTTAACAAAAATCATTTCCTTTTAAAAAAAAAATTCATCATTTTTTCATTTCAGAAGAAATAAAAAAACCTGAAGAAAAATAAAGAAATATTTGTCAAAAATACCAAAAATAGAGATATTTTGTTATTGTTGTTTTGTTTTGTTTGAATGAATGAATGAATGAATGAATGGCATTGAACGTGAATGAATTGAAGCATATCACCCAGCCATGATTACCACACACAAGATGGATACATAATTGATAATAACCATTGATTATCATATATGATTGACATTACATTACATTAAAATAGACAAAATTGTACCGAACGAGAGAAAAAAAACAAAACCTAAACATTCAATAACTTTGATCCAATCCAATCAACTGAATCCAGGTTTTGTTTTGTTTCATTTTTCAATGTTAAATGATTGAAGATTGATCACTTTATTTATCCAGAAAAAACAGAAAATGTTGTTCTTTTTTCTACTACAAATTCAAAATGACTAAAGTTTCCGATAATTATCAATTGATCAATAGAAAGATATTTTTTGTTCCATTCAAATTCGTCGTCGTATCCTTAAAAAAAACAATTATTATTCGCTCTATTATGATGATTGGTAATTGGTATTTTTCATTATTGTCTTCTTTGAATAGAATGTCCTCGAATGTTGATCGAAATTTTTATTTCAAAGTAATGTGGGCCAATACAGGAAAAAACAAACGAAAAAACAAAGCAGAAAAGTGAATAATTAATATTTGTAGCTGAAAAAAATGAATCTGTTGAATGTTTGTATTCAAAAATAGATATCCGAAACGAAACAAAACCGAAACAGAAAAAATTGAATTGAATTTAATAGAAATCGAGATTTTCTTTTTTTCTTTGGGCAAACAGATATCCCGATATAGTCGTCGTGTTCGTGAAGTCATGGTTTTTTTCGAGAAAAAAAAGTAAATTTAAAAAACATTTTATCAGTGAAAAAAAACTTTGTCGATATTTATTATTCAATTATGATTGGAAAAAAGAAGAACGAAAAAAAATTGAAAAAGCAGAAAATAAACGAAAAACTCAAAATTTACATAAGAATTATTATTGAATGAGGGGGAGAAAGAAAAGAAAATATTGAGTTTTTTCTTGTTTGTAAAATGTAGAAAAAAAAATGTTTGAACAGAAAAATCGTTTTTTTTTTCGTTCCTCTTCAACAACAACAACAAATTCTTTTGCTTGTTATTTGCGAATTGGAAGAAAAAAAAATTAGAAGAAAAAAAAATTATATTTACAAATTGAGAAAAACGAAACGAAACGAAAAAATTAATAAGGAAAAATTGTAAAAAAAATACGACGATTATTTTGAAGTTATAAAATAGTAAAATTCAATTAGAAAAAGAAAAAATCATTATCACCTGTTTTCGGACAGTTTTTTGCTGTTGTTGTTATAACGATTTGGGTTATAAAATTTGTTTGTAAAAAAAATTTGTTTTATAAGTTTTTTTTGAGTTTTTAATACAAAATTGAATAAATAAAAGGAGTTAGAAAAAAGTATTATTATCAATATTGATCAATGATGATGATGATGAAATAATGATGAGAAGAAAAAAAATGTTAAAATATTTGACTCGGATGATGATGATGATGATAAATGTCGATGCTTTTTTTAGTAAATTGGATATGGTCGGGTTTTTTTGTTTTGTTTGACGTAAGAAAAATACTTTTATATTTTTTTTCATTATTTTTTTTTTGTTTTTGTTTTAAGTTTTAATTAGAAAAAAAAATAAGATCAAGATCTAATTGAAAAGAAATAAGAATCAACCAGAAACTCCGCCTGTTAGATAGGAGACTAGTGATCGAATTCCTTTTATAGATCTTATACCAAATATATTGGTTAATGGTCTTTGGTTACCATCAATCGTTGTAATCGATGATACAGGTGATGATGATGATGATGGTGACAAGAATAGATTTATACTACCCGAATCACTATTACTACTACTACTAGGTGAAAGTTTCGGTTGTTTTTGATTAAGAAATTTAAAATGTTTTCCTTTTGGTAATATAAATTGTGGTTTCAATTCGGATGCTGCAGCACGATAACCATAAACCGGATAGAATCCTTTATTACGTGATGGTGAACGATTATGATGATGATGATGATGATGTTGACCATTTGGTGATGGATGAATAAATGGCATAATAATACTATTCATTGCATGTGGTCCATTACCGCTAATTGTTGATGATGGTGTATTAGATTTTTTATATGGCATTGATGGTTTACGAAATAATGATCGATAATTTGATGATGATGATGATGGTTGGCTATTAGACATTGGTCCAGGAAAACGATAACCACCAATACCACTATCCAATAAATGTATTTGTGCCAATACTGATTCATCCAAACCTACGTCACGAGGATTATATGATGCACCTGGCGGAAGTTCATCTTTTAAAAATTCTATATAAACAAATATATAAAAAATGTCCAAATAATTAATTAATAATTTTTTTTTTAAATAAAAAAAATTATCAATTAATCTCTGGCTATATAAACAAAATTGTTTTTTGTTTCAACTTACTCATTTCAAAATCTTCGGCTATCATATTATTCTGATTATTATTATTATGAAAGTAACGATTTTTATTTTTATTAAAATGTCGTTGACGATTTTTTGGTGGTGATCGATAAAGATTAACTTTCGGTAAATATGATGGTAATAATGGCATACGAGAACTTTCAAAATGATTTGGTTTATTATTATTATTATCACCGGGACGAGATTTTTGTATTATTTTATTTACTGTACCATAAAATTCATTTTCATTGATACCTAATTCACGTAATTTTTTTGTTGCATCTTTTCCCCATAATGGTTTAACATGAACATCATGTATTTTATTTACATGAAAATGTTCATGTTCTTGATAACCGCCACCACCATTTTGTTGTTGCGACATCTGTTGATGTTGATGTGATGAAGGACCTGATAATTCAGAATATTCATGTTGAATATTTGATTTATCAAAAATAGATGGTATTTCATTAAATGTTCCAGGTCCATGATAACCAGATTCATAATTTATATTTTGTCTATATGATTGTTGTTGTGACATTGAACCTTGTGATGGTGATGAAGGTGAAATTTGAATCATATTTCCCATTGATGGTTGTGGTTGTTGTGGCATTTGTTGTTGTTGTTGTTGTTGTCGAATATATTCTACATTATTATTATTATTATTGGCATTATATTCATATGGAGCTTTAGATTGTTGACTATTTTGAATAATATAATCTCCACCATTAAACGATTGTTGTTGCTGCTGCTGTTGATTATTCATATCTGAATTAATCATATGTGGTTTTTTGATCGGTACAAATCCACCGTATTCAATTTGTTGTGGACCTTCGGTCATTTTTCCACCAAATTCCATTGAAGGCATATTATTATGCATTTGATGAGTCCAAGATTGTTGTTGTTGTTGCTGCTGCTGATGTTGTTGTTGTTGATCAGATTGATGTGATAATTGAGGTTGATTTTGATATAAATGTCCTGATGGTTCATATTCGGTAAAATCAGTAAAAAGTGTTGATGGTGGTGGTCTCATTTCAATTGGATTCATTTGATACATTTGATCATTTTCCATTGATGGTTTATCTCGTGTAATAGTAATTTCATTTTGATATTTATAATTATCATTCATCAATGAATCTTGAATATTCATTCCTTGATCCATAATAGATGTTGATACTGTTTGACCATTATTTTTATCATTATTATTATCAAATGGTTTACGATACATTGTATTAATTTCTTGATTAGAACTTTGTCCACTATGAACAGTTTGTCCATACATATCGAATTTATTACCAGTATTTATTTCAGCTAAATCAACTGGACGTTGATACACTAAAACTTTTTTACCATTTTCATCTAAATTTTCTGTATTATATGCATAACCTTCATCATCATTATCATCACCGGATACTGAATCAACATTATCATCATTACCATTGTTCATAGAAGAAAGCATTGAATCTTGTGGAAAAGAAAATTTTGATATTGGTGGTTGTGAAATCATTTGTGGTTGATTTAGAAAAGTTGATTGTGGTATTTCTGGTTCGGGTGCTTTAAATGTATTTATTGGTGGTATTGGAATTTGTGGATGTGGATTTTGATTCATATATGATTGAGATGAAGAAGAACCAGAATCTGATTGAATCATCATATGATTATTTGATGAAATCTGTTCGGATGATGTTGTTGAAGATGCCATTGGTTGTGGTTGATATTGTTGTTGTTGATGATTGGATTGTTGTTGTTGTTGTTGTGGTCCAGATGATTCAACAAGCTGAGAATCAGGTGGTGGTGGTAAAAATGCCGATAATGGTGGTGATGGTGGATCAAATGGATCTGGTCGTGCTAATGGCTGTTTTTCAACAATTTCCCGTAAACTATCAATAGAAACAACTTCTTTATCACTATTAGCCTAATAATAATAGAAACGAAAAAAAGAAAAGAAATTAATTTTCTTTGACCAGAAAAAAAAGAAGATTTAAAGTTAGATTTTTAATGGGATCGTTAACTATAAACACACACACTCATTACATCGAATAGTTGTAAGATCTAAATTTGACAAGAAATGATGCTATTTAGAAGAAGAAAAAAAATACTCGTTCAACATTGATCTATTTCGATCTACAAGACATGATAGATGTTGATATAGTTTGTTTTTTTGTTGTTGTTTTTGTTTTTTTTGTTCATTCCGTTTTTTTCATTTCCAAAAAAAAAGAAAAAGAAATAACTCCTTTAAGGTGAATGATTCACATTAATTGCTAATAAGCCAGACGAATTATTTTATATTTTTTTTCTATTTGAAAAGTTTTAAACAGCAACAACAACAACAACAAGACTAAATCTGTGATTGATCATTGGGCGAGGTATTACAAGATGATGATGACGATCATCATCATCATTATCATCTCATCAACATTCGATGATGGAACTACCTGGAAAATTCATATTCGATGAACGTATTGAAAAAAAATGACTATGATGATAATGATGATGAAAATTTAAATATTTTTTTTACATCTAATCATCATCAGATAGAAAGATCGATTTGAGTAAACTATGATGATGATCAGAATAATTAATTGATAATGAAGATGATGGTGGTGTGAAAAGTGTTAATATCATTACCATTATACACGTATACGTATGAAATGAATGAAATGAAATGAAATTAATGATATGTTTTCTTGTTTTCTAGGTGATTCCTTTTTTTTCTTTGGTCTATTTTTCTCTTTATATGTGTTTAAAGGCTAATTTCATTCATCCAGATACATCATTTGAATAATTTTACGGTAAGCGATTTTATTTTTCCTGGCAAAACACATTACATTCAGAAATTCACCAATGATTGGTGAAATCAGTTTTTTTTTGGGAATTCAAACTATATAATCAAATCTCCTTATATAAACTGTAGGTAAATATAGTTTTTTTGAATGATTTAAATGGTTAGAAATCGATAATCAAACACTTGTTGTTGTTGTTGTTGTTGTTGGTCATCATTTAATCCGAAAAAAAAGTTAAACCTAAAATGAATTGTTGATTTCTATGTTCTTCTATGAACATTGTTTTGTTTTGTTTTTCTATTAATCGAAACTAAATTATCATCAAATCAAATCAAATCAATCGTTATAATTAGAAATTGGATTGAACTAATTCCGAAATAAATAAGAAGAAAAAAAACAACTTTTTTGTTGTTGTTTGAATATATTTAGTATGTTGCAGTGAGAGAAAAAGAGATAACGAAAAATCACATCGGATAATTCTATGATCACTTTCAATGAGATTTTTTTTTTCTTCACTGGTTCGATGTGAACATACACAAACACATAACATAACATAACATATATTGAAAAGCATCTATAATCTTGTTATGCTTAATTTGTAATGTCGATTAATCCGAATCTGATAACATTTTTTTTAATCTTTTTTCTTTTTTTTTGCGAATTGAATTGAAACTATAAATAGGTGAATGGAAACAAAAATCATCCTGTTTTTTTTCTGTTTTGGTAATGGTTTTTTAATGCTTTTGTTACGGATGGTAAAAATATTGCTAACGAAAATTATTGCCGACAACGACTACGACGACTACGAAAGGGCAAGTCAAATGTTAAAAATATATTTGATTTAGTCATTTTTTTGAATCATCAAACATACCTGTTGATTAGGATAACCATCCATTGATTGTCCTTGGATTGATTGTTGTTGTTGTTGTTGTGATGAAAATGGATCATTTTGTCCATCTTTATCATCGGGAAAATATTTTCTAAATGCTTCATCAACTGATAATGATACAGGTGTAAATGATCCAGTTTCTTGATTAGAATCTTGACCATTACCATTATCACCATTCTGGCCATATGATTGTGACATATCACCATTATTCATTGAAGGCATATTATAAATACTTGGTCCATATTCTCGATATGGACTTTGTATTGATGAACCATCACCATTATTATTTTGATCACCAATATTCATTGATGTTTGATATTGATGAGAATGTTGTGTTGAATAATCACCACCATCATTCATTTGTGATGATTCAAATTGATTAGCTTTTCTTAATCCAAATTCTTCAGTTCGTTGATGATGATGATGATCAAAATTAGATGATTGTTGTTGTTGTTGTTGTTGTGGAGATGATTGAAATGTTGGATATTGTTGTGAAGCTGATTTTTGTAACATTGAACCATTTTCTTCAACATTTTCATCTACTTCTTGTCCATTCAATTCATTTGATAATACCAATGATGGTATTGTGATGATGGCCATTAATGTTGCATAAAGCAACAACAATATAATGCTTTTCTATATTTATAATGTTTTTTTTTCAATGTAAAGAAAGAAAAAAAGAAAGAAGAAAATTATTGAAAGAAAACAAAATTTATAGTAATAATAATCAAATAATGGACAAGATAAAAGACGACGATCAATCAATATTTTATAACTGAGAAAGAAAGGTAATATGATGGCACACACACACACACAGACAATTTAAGTAACTTTACAACAAAACACCGATATTAGTATTATATATTCTTACATATAACAACAACAACAAGAACAGGTGTATAAATGAATCAATGATGAGAAAATGACGATGTCCATTAAATTTTTTCTTTTCTTTTTTTCTTGTATTATCATCATTGGATTTCTATACGTTTTTTTTCTTACAAAAGACAAGAAAAAAATGAATCATTTTTGGTTGTTTGTTGTTTGATACATAACACATATATGACATATTGATTGAAAAAAATATATAAACCAGAATACCATGGTACCACATTCTCTATTCTAATCTGTTCTGTTTTTTTTGCTGTTGTTGTTGTTGTTGATGATGATGATAATGGAGTCATTTTTTTAAAATAGAATTCGGTTTGTTTTTTTTTTGTTCTGTTGTTGTTGTTAGTGCTTTTGTTTCCAAGAAATACCAAGCCCTTTAAAAAACATTTTTCGTTTTTTTCGTTTTTTTCGTCGAAAATAAACTATTGTATGCCGTATCCAAACACGATCATCATTAAAAATCCAGGATATATAATAAGTGTAACCCTAATGGGATGTGACAATATTCGTCATTTTTGAACGGGCAGAGATGAGGGGGGATGAACAACAACAAAAATTGTCGTCACGAATTTTTTGAATGGTTTTTTCCTTTTTTGACTCAACAAAACGAATAATTAGCTAATGTCGATGATCAACAACAACAACAAAAATGATTTCAACCAACCAAAACAACAAACATTTATTTGGGGTAAATAAAGGAAGAAAGTTTATGGTAAAATACTTTCGCTATATTATTACCATCATCATCAAAAACACAAGAAACAAAAAATTTTTACAAGAAATCCGACAAGTTATATGTCAGCTACCTGAATGTTTTTGAAGACATGCATAAAAAATTAACAGATGATTTGTTCATCAACATTTTTTTGTTCGTTGTTTGTTTCAGGATGAATGCCATCAACATCAACATCAACATCAACATGACATGAATGAAATTTATCAATGTAAAACAAAATTACGGTAGATCTATCGATCGATCGATGTCTGATGAACACATGTATATTTGGACAACCGAAACCAAAAAACGAATCAAAAATGTAAATCCCACAAAAAGAAAAACAAATAGACAAATCAAATAAAAAGTTTATTTGTAAAACTTCATTAGCATCATCCGAAAGATTGGAAACGAAAAACAAACAAACATCATGATTATCATGTCGATTTTTGTTAATTTTGTTTTTTTTTCATTAGTTGAATATTGATAATATTGGAAAAAAGAACAAATAACGAACGTTTGAAGAAGAAGAAGAAGAAAAAAAAAACATTCTTCTTGTCAGGTAGTTATTATTATTATTATGAAAATTCCTTTGGAATGATGTTGATGATGATTATCAACTACAAACTAAAACAAAAACCTAAAAAAAACAACTACAGAAACTAAATCTGACAACTATTCATTTCAACATTCGAATTTGATTATTATTATTATTCAAATTTGAATGAATTCGAATGTCCAGAAATCAAAACCAGCAGAAGAAAAAAAAATGTCTACATCTGACCATCTACCAACAACAAACATCGGATCACATTATCATAATATTTTTTATTGTTGTTTTTGTCATGTTTGGCTAGACAATGTCAAAGTTTTTTTTGTTTGATGCATATATTGATTTCATTTTTGAAAAAAAACGTTATTATATTTTGATCTTCGTCGTCATCATCATCATCATCAATAATTACAGGACATTTTGATTGAATCGAAAATTGATCAGAAAAAACAACAACAACGAAGCAACAGCCAAACAATAATGATGATAATGACTACTTTGTGAAACTGCTTTTTGATCAATTCTCAATTTTCAATATATATTTTCATATATTGATTGAGGCGATATAGTTTTCGCCTCTCTCTCTCTCTCTCTCCATCTACCTGATCTGATTTTGATATTGGATATTTTTTGATTTTTCTTATTATTATCGATCCAATTGTGTAAAAAAAATAATGTTTAAAAATAATAATAATCCTTTCAGTGAAAATGATGATGATGATGATGATCATCGGACATTATAATGATGATGATCATCATTGATGTTTTGAAAAGAAAGAGAAATTGCTTAAAGGCAAAGATAACACCGACCAACCAACCAACTGACCAATCAATCCGATCGATTGATCGATCGATCGACCATCATCATCATAATTTCATTTTCATTTTTTTTTTAATATTTTTTTTCAGTTTCTTTTCAATCGTTGTTCAATCGGTGTATTTTGACCACCAAGTTAGTCAAGACCGGATGATTGTATAATTATATACGAACAGAAACTGAAATTGGAAGTATAATCGTGTGTTTGTCATAATACTCTCTCTCTCTCCTTATGGCTATTTCTTCATGATGTTTTGGGGAGAAATTGTTGTTGTTGTTGTTGCTTGTAAGATAAATGAATGGAATGTTACGCACATGACAACAACAATAACATTTTTAAACAAATTTGAATTCTGAATTTTGGCAAAGGTAAAACGAAAAAAAATGATGATGTTAACCGCCTGTTTAGACACCCAAGGATAAATAAATCGATTTGGTTTGGAAAGAAAAACTTTCTGTTTTTTCTTCGTATTTGAAAAATCTATTGTAAATTTTTTCAACAAAAAATGTTGCGCTTATTTTGTCAGCGAAAAAGGTAACCGAAAAAAAAGTTAAAAAATTTCCATATTAAAAGTACAGTGCAGTGCGAATCAATGTCCAAGTTGTATTTCCGTGATGAATTTTGTCATTTTCATTTTATTCTCACTTATCACTACCTGGTTTTGTTGTTGTTGTTGTTGTGGTTGATTAATCATCATCATCAATCAAAAAACCATATCGGAAGCAAGAAAATGAAAGGATTTCATTGTTTTTTTTCCTTTGAAAAAGAAACAAAGCATCTTTCTCAGTGATACAGTTTTAATTAATTTTTCTTTTCTCATTATTTGCATCAACTCATTATTTGCATAAGTTGAAAATGAAAACGAATAAAAGATTCACCCAAAAGATTCAGTTTTTTTTAAAAAAAGATTTTAAGTTTTTGGCTCCCATCTTTTTTTAAATAAAAAATTACATTTTGTATCACCATCATTAACATATGTTTCGTTCGTTCGTTTCATTTATTTATGAATTTTTTTTTTTTTTTCATTTTTATTTCACCATAATGCTGTTATTTTACCATGTCCCCATGTTCAACACACTGAACAACGGTCAGTTTTATTTTATTTTCTTTTCTGTTTGTTGATCAGAAATGCAAATTAATTTTTTGGTAAATTGATTGGAATGGAAATGGAAATGAAATGAATGAATAAGTCTTGTCCGGCGGCTTATCAAGCGGAGGGAGAGAAAATTGATTATTTTTTTCTTTTTTTTTAAAAAAAAAACAAACTCTAAAATTAGACAGAAATGAATCGGACAATTAAATGCAATTGCTTTTTTTCGTTGTTACTTTTGTTGTTGTTGTTGGTAACGGGTAAAATAGATTGGCAAAATATCAATTTCTTCTTCTTTTTTTTCCGTCTTGGATCTAATCATATATCGTAACTATTAATTCATGATGATCATCATCATCTTGCATCAGCATCGTGTTCATCAAATATCCGCCGTAGGATAGTTAAACAAGCAAGAAAAATATAGAAAGATTGTGTTTGAATATTTTCTTTTGCATCAACAAAGACTAATTTTAGCCAATTGTTGTTGTTGTTTGTTTG